ATATATGTATATCCCAGCATACAGCACAGTATTGTAACATATCTTTAATCAGAACTTTTTTGTATTTCAGAATGACTGAGTCATCAGTATTTTTGGTTGGTAATAAACAAGATTTATGCCACATGAGAGAAGTTGGCTGGGATGAAGGACAGAAGCTGGCAATAGATAACAAGTGCCAATTCTGTGAACTGTCTGCAGCAGAACATTATCAAGAAGTTGTGGCAATGTTCACAAAAGTCCTGAGGACTATCACATCAAATTTCAAAGTGAAGGAAAAGAGACGACCAAGTGGATCAAAGTCAATGGCCAAATTAATCAACAATGTGTTTGGAAAGAGAAGGAAATCTGTGTAAAAGTTGGGCTATTCTTGAAGTAGGAACAAGATGAAATAATGGAACAGAGACAGCTCTTGGGATTCAGTTTCCTCCAAAGGTCAGTGCCTGGAGGAGTAAGACAGAAGAAACCAAAGGCAGGATATAGTAAGGTCAAGTGGACATGGTCTAGACCTAGAAAGCCTGACTGCCTATTTCCAGTTCTGCTACAGATTTACTGTTAGGGTTATGTCACTAAGCTGCTCCTCTCACCATTTGTCTTAAGTTTTTCAGAGGAGAGCTTTAGTCTGTATTTATTAAACACCAGCATGGTCTTGGATAGGGCTTCTAGGTGCAATTGAAGTATGAACAATTACTTCCAATAAACTCAGCCTTGCTGATCAAAATCTTACTTCAGAATTCTGAGAAGTGATTGGGTTTTTTTATGCAAGAACACTTGCACTAAAGCAAAAACTGCTGCTTCATGTAATAATGTATTTAACTCAAGGCAGGATGGGTCAGATCCTTGTGTGCCTAAAGTGCCTAACACCTGCTAAAATTCATATGAATTAAATGTTTAGACGCCAAATCTACAAGAGCTATTTACCTGCAAAGCTGCCTTGCAGAGGCACCATAAGTAGGGAAACAGATAAACAAAGCACTGTTGTCTCCTGTTTCAGGTTTGGGTTTGTTGGTTTTTTGGTTTTTTTTTTCATTTTGAGTGATGAAAGAAGGTAGAGAGGGTTGAGCAGGGTGTGAACTGAAATGTTAGTGAAGTGTTAGTGAGCATCAGACTGTTTTGGCAAGGTCGTTGTTTAATGAAATAATTCTATGGTTAGGGCCAGTGTTAAGGCTAGGGTAACATCTTGGGCTGATCCCTTTCACAGACCAGTTTTCATGGGCTGCAAAAATGTTTCTGTGCCTGCTCAATTTTAGATAGGAGTGGAGACTTGAAAAGCACATGGACTGGTAAAGAGCACAAGTTGTTTAGGATGTCTGCCTGGATTTAAAGGTCAGCCTGCTGGTAAGACCTGTGCTCCTTAAATTGCATAGTGTTTTTCCTAAGGACCAATGTCTTTACAGCTAGTCATCACTATGGTATTGAAATGCCTCTTGAGAGAACACTAAGGAGTATGTTAGCTACACTTTTCAAATGTGGATATTAAACATCAGATGGGTCTAAATATGTTGCCAAATGACATTCAGAGCTCTTACTGTAGACAACTAAATAAGGGCTTAGCCCAGCGTGTTTGAAAATGCTGTGCTCATAGAGAAATTATGAAAGGGAAGAGGAGTGACCTGAAGATGAATTACTACCTCCCAACCACTCCACAGGACAGCTGAGATCTGGTCTTTGTAAGCTGCTGAGTTGAAGCCTACCTGTACTCTGAAATTTTACCTGCATTGAAATTTGTAAAGTTACTTTATCAGTCACAGCAGAATACCAATTTTCAAATGTCCACCCCATTAAGATAATATAAGAAACCTATATAATCCTAGCATTACTGTTATTAAAATGTACTTTAGTTTTGTAAGTGTTGATCAAAGATCACTTCCTCTTTTTTTAAGGAAAAGATACTGTTTATCTCACTTGTTTTAAGACTACCAATATTGGAATATAGTTCTCAGTGTTGACAGACACAGTGTTGCTTTACTTCTATGCAGATGCTGCTCTGCCATATCAGGAGTAGTATATTTACCTATTACCAATATCTATGAGGTTGAACTTGAAAACTACTCATGTGCACCCTTCAGCTTTCCAGCATATATGGAATTCCAGAACTAAGACTGTTGATCTGTCAGGTAGCTGTATTTCTCCAGCTCTACCATTGCCAGATTTGAGAGCTCTCAACTGTATTTACTGCTATGGTATTAAATAAACTAGATACAAGACGGATGTATTAATGCCTTTTGTTTTCCCTTTACTGTGGCATCAAGCTACAGACATGCTGTTTTGACTACTGTAAAAGTGAAACACCATGCAGACCTGGAATTCAAATTACAAAAGGAAATCTGGGAATCAGACACTTGCACAAAAAAGAGGCTCTAGCTGTGTTTCCTGTACACAGTGAAGAAACCTTCATGTGCCTTTATGCAGTGAACAGCAGAGAACTTTTTAGAAATTCATTATCCTTTAAAAATGTGTTGAGATAGTAACAGAGAAGCTAATTAGTTTTGATTTGTTTCTGTTCATGGGAATGTGGACGTCCAGATAGGCAGAATCTGCTGTATACCCTGCAGTTTTCCTTTCCTTTCTGTCTAGATGGGGTAAGTGTTGGTAAGCTACCTTCTGGCCCACAAGATAGGTTGCCCTCACCTGATAACCAGATGCAACTACTGCAGGATGCATTTGGACTTAAGCATTCTAAAGCACCCAGAATAGACATAATTTGATGTTATTAGGGTCAGGACTCACTTGCTTTTTATTGCCAGTAAGTGCAGATGAACAAGAGTGCAGAATTTGAGAAGGAATTCCATTTTAAAGCAGGCAGATAATATGTTCTCCATTTCTAAGTGTATTTTGTTAGCTTTTTTTTTTTTTTTTTTTTTTGGTAAAGTTTTTTAAAAGGTTAGGTGATTTTGTTAGCTTTTTTTTTTTTTTTTTTTTAGGTAAAGTTACTTAAAAGGTTGAGATGGCTGATATATTGCTAAGCGTTCTTGGAGTTTTAACAGGAAAGGTAATATCTTACTTGCTAAGCCACATTTGAAAATGCAAACAAGAACCTTGCTTGCATAGCACAGTAAAAGATGTAAGTGGTGTTTGATGCTCACCCTTGACAGTGACATCACCTGGAGCATATTGAACTCATTGAAGAGAGTGGAAATAAAGTTATTTATGTTGCCATGGATTGCTTCAGCATATGACCCCATCCTTTCTTACCAAAAGATTTTGAAATCGCTTTACAGGAGTTAAAAGTTTCCTGCTGTCGTATCTGGAAGTCCTTGTTTGTATGAACTTTCTAGTTTCAGCAAAATTTTGCTGGAGAAAGGCACTCAGAATTGATGTTCTTTTTCCCCTCTCTTCAACTTGTTTTTACTTTAGAAACAGTCACATAAAAGCAGAAAGATTCTACTGAAGTATAAAGGTAATAGCCTCTGGGTCCCAAATGCTGTCTCTGAGAGAGCTTTCAGGTGTTTTTTGAAGCTCTTCCTCACTACACTTTTGAAATAAACAATCAAGACAAACACTACCTCAGCTTCTTTTCCTGCTGTTACATCTGTATGCATTAAACTATTTCTTTTTGTAAATCCCACTACAGTCACATTCATAACAGGGCAGAGGGGAAAATGTCACAGTAAAACTTAAAGCATGATAGTCCTGGAAGAAGGAGTGATTACATGCAGTATTGAGTAGACAAACCAAACATGCTGTTTCTAATATATTTAAATCAGGATAGCAACAAAAAAGATGGATCAGAAGTTTCGATGAGGACAAAAGAAACTACCACAGGTTTTTTAGCTCATTTGTATAAGTTGATTTCTGAAGTGATGGAAGGGTGAACATGGAAGTGCAAAAACCTTGTGAGTCATGTGGGGACAATCTTGTTGCTTGCCTTTCCATCTACCTCAGTACACTGCTTTGAAGATGATGCACCAGTAGATATCTCATCCTGGCATTCTGTCCATCAAGTGAGCAGGGAAAGGGATGGATTCTGTGGCTATCAGCCTGAACAGGTATGGTGCTCTCACTGACACCTGAATCCAGGTCGTTCAATAGTTTTTTCAGAAGGCACGCTATAAAGAAAAGGGTATTACGAATACCATTCAAAGCAAAACCAAAGTGTAGGAAGTATTCAAGAGTAAGCTAATTTTCTATCAGGGTGCTTGTTGGAGCAGGTGCCTTAGGTTAATGAAGTTTTCATACAGATTTACTTTGCTTATAGATAGAGGAACAAACTCCAGCTCTGATTATTATGCTTGACTGGAACCCTTGCCTATCTGCTCTGAAGCAAGAAATACATTAAAAAAATTAAAAATAAACACAAACCAAACAAATGAACCCCAGACTACCAGGCTACTAGAATAATCCAGAGCAATATGAAACTTTATTCTATATTAAAAAAAATGAACCCTCTACACCTCCTTAAAGCTGGCCTCAGGAACACAGGTCTCTTAATAGCCTTAACCTGCCCATGGGCAATAAACCAAGAGTAAGCTAAATTTTGATGTGCTGTTCAGCCTGTTTGAAAAGCAAAGGCTTTCTTTCCATGCCCAAATGTGGATCTGGGCACCTAACTGCTAACTTTTATTGTTTTAAAACTTGGGTTTGATACTTCCATAAAAAAGCAGAGCTGTAAATGCCTAAGTGTTTGGCTTGGGGTTTTTTTGCCCGACAGTTGATATTATGAGAGACAGGCAGACTATTCTGGGTAAGAAGTTATTTTTAAACAGACATTACTCTTTTCCAGAAACAGACTGTAAGTTTCTGTCTTCTTTTAATTGCTTTACAAAGTAAATTGAGTCCCTCTGGTTACATAATTAATATCCACATTTAGGCCTATATATTTGACAAGACTTGAGCCGTTTACTGCTACATTCGTTTTTTAAGACTGGCTAGGAGTTCAGAAAAAAAAGCTGCGCTCTGTAAAACATCCCAAGTTTTTACAGTGAAGGCCTCTAACAGTACAGAGAAATATGTAACACAAGCAAGACAAGTGGAGAACAGAGTTCTCATTGAGCCAAATGATCTAAGCAGGTCTGTCCCCTTGTATACTCCATGTTCATATTCAGCATCAAAATGGCATTGCACCTATATTGCATAATATATTTTACTGAAGGAGGCACGAATTAAAATAATTAATTTTATAGGCATTTTGGTATCTAGTGAAGATTTCAGTTTTAATAGACACAACTTCTTAAATAGGCTTCACACCAGATTTTGGTTGTGTGATTGTAGGGTTTTTGTGTTTTGTTTGTTTGGGTTTTTTGATTTTGGTTTTGTTTTGTTGGGGTTTTTTTGTTTTTTTTTTACCCAAAAATGAGTTCTAACTTTTCAGGCGAGTTCCCTCCCAGAAGAAACTTTATTTTAAAGATGATGCGAG